ATTGCCAAGGAGTGTCTGGTGTTATTTAATTAGTCAGATTTCTGTTGTGGTCATTTTTGTGTAGTGTAAAGATTCATACATATACAGTATATATCATTTATTTTGGGAATAAGTAGTTTTAACTTTAACATAGACTATGAGTTTTGAGTTCATATCCTGAATATATTTTAGGCTTTCTAAAATAGCAGCCCTGCTACATGCTGATATGGCAGGTTGCAGCCTACCTAGTATGAGAGCCCATCCTCATCAAGCATAGCCATAGGGTAGGAATTCTGCATTCTTCAGCTGTTGAGGCTTTGTCATGAGTCTGTGTCCTGAGCTCATGGCCAAATGTGGCCCAGGAACCCAAGTACACACACAGCTGTCCCCCTATATCCTTAGCTTCTCACTGGCTCCTTTCCTTGCTGGGATGGCCTTCTGCTCTGGACCTTAGCCTGCTCACCTGGGTCCTTAACAACTTACCCAACTCTTGCCAGGCCCTTCTCACCAAGGATTCCTCCCAACTCCCCTGCACATAACTACAGCCTGGATTCTCCCTAGCTCTACAGCTTGCAGTATTACACTGTCTAGAGATTCCTGTTGCTGTGCCTCACACTACAGGACAGACTTCCTGGCACTACTAAAGCCAGCCTAGATCAACCCAAGTTAATCACATCCGTACAAACACTGTGATTGGAACTGCTGGCCACCCTGAGGGAACCAGCCCATAGCCCAGTTAGCTCCCTGGCCATTGTGGGTTTCTTCCCTTTGCAGGCACCTGCTGCTAGCATCCCTTTGTGCACTAATACTAGCTAGGGAGGGTTCCAACTCCAGTCATGCCAGCATGCACAAATTCTCCAGGGACACAAAGGCTGGTTTCTGTGGAAAAAGGAGCCTATTTTCTGCCTCCACTGAGGATATCCTCAGAGTAAATATATGCACAACAAATGCTTTAATAGTAAGTAGTATGGTACATTGGGAAAAACATTAAACTAGTGATGCATTCAGGATAAAGAACTACTACAATCAATAACAAAGAAACATCCCAGTAGAAAAATGGGCAAATGATATGAAGATTTGAGACCATCCTGGCCAACATGGCAAAACCCCATCTCTACTACAAATGCAAAAATTAGCTGGACGTGGTGGCACATGCCTGTAATCCTAGCTACTTGGGAGGCCAAGGCATGAGAACTGCTTGAACTTGGGAGGCAGAGGTTGCAGTGAGCTGATACCGCACCACTGCACTCCAGCCTGGGTGACAGAACAAGACTGTCCCCAAAAAAGTAAACTAAAATAATTTTTTAGTAGGCAAAGTGAGATACAGTTGGCTGTATTAAGTAGTATTAAGTTAAAATACAACTCTGTTACCTGCTGCAACAAAAGATATACAATTGCAAAATTACTGCAGCGCAGATCTAGCACCAACAATCTGAAATGCAGTCTCTAAGCTAAACATAATCTTTTTACAGATTTAATTAGTTGGGAAATTAGGGATGCTCAGGGTTGAACAGCCTGGGTCTGTCATGGAGAGAATGTTTAACCAATAGAAGGCCTATAAGGCTTTAGAAACAGAAGTCCCTCATTGGCTTTCAACCAAACTGAATCCATTACACCTGCCGAATCTGTCTAGAGTCCATTTCTTCTTAGGAACCACTAACTACCCGGCCATCCAGATGTGCCATGTGTTTTCTGCCACCTGCTTTAGAGAAACATCTGGTGTCTTTATTACCTTGCTGTGGCTGGGGGAATTTTCCATTCCCCTCCATGGCCTTCTGTTCTTTTGAGTGAGTGTTGTTTGTGCTACTGCATATAGATTCAGATTTACTGTCCAGCTTTCCTCCTCTTTGTGCAGTGCTGACTCATTTTCCCCAGATATTTGTTTCTGTGCAGCTTGCTGTAGTCCCTTGGTCTCTCTTGGAAAATGACAGTAAGGCATTTTTGAAGTGTTAGAAGGCTTTTGCTGGGGCTTTATCCAGCTCTCCCTGTTTGGTTTATTGGCAAAAGGGTCCCACTGTGCATTTATGTAGAATTTACCCATTATTTCTATTCCTGCCTTTCAAGTTGGAACCAGGTTAGCAAATGATAGAAAATTAAATCCAGATGATTTGTGATAAGAAATATGTTTTGTGAAAAAGACCACTCAGTCATAAAGAATGCTCAGAATTAGATTATGCAAATGCTTCTGTTATCACACTGTCAAGTGGTACAGGCACTCCTGATTTTGATTCAAGGCAAGGAAATTCTATTTAGCTTTTTATTTATTTAATGTTTCTGTTTTAAATGAGCAGGACCTCACTAAAGCATGAAAGAAATTAGGTCTTCAATAGGGCCTGCCTCGTAATCACCTATGTGCTTCATAACCCAACAGAGATGATGAATAAATTTGCTGTGGCCTCATAGTTTATAATTTACATCTGCAGTGTTTCAACAGCAATGGTTTTCATGCTCTTTAATTTCAGGAAACCTGTGATCTGGGGAAGATAAAACCTGAGGCCAGACGATACTTGGAAAAGTCCATTAAAATGGGGAAAAGAAATGGGCTCCATCTTCCTGAACAAGTACAGAATGTGAGTTTCCTTTTCTTACCAGAAAAAGAAATGAATAAATAAAACAAAATACTGGTTGAACGTCCCTAATCCAGAAATGCAAAATGCTCCTCAGGCTGAAACTTTTGGGTGCCAACATGATGCTCAGAGGAAATGCTCATTGGAGCATTTCAGGTTTTATGGGTAGGTATGCTCTACTGGTAATAATGGGAATATTCCAAACTCCAGAAAACTCCAAAATCTGAAATGTTTCAAGCCCCAGGCATTTCGGATAAGGGATATTCAACTTGTGCAACAAAAAACAGAAAATAGGGAAACAGATGGCTTATAATAAAATAACCCATAATACAAATTCCTCTACAGTGTATTTAGTGGTTTTACATTCTACAACTCCTGTTAACCTCAGGAGTTAACCTCAGGAGTCTGTTTGGTGATGGACAAACAACTGATAACTTAAAATTGTTCTTTAACCTTGTACAAGTTTTATTTGTTTCATGTGTGTTGGGTGAGCTTATTTTCCCTACCCTGTTTCACATTCTTTAAGAGCTGATTTCAGGTCCTAGTAGTTGGTTTGTCTTTTCACTCCCTTGGTCATACAGAGATGGGGCACTGATTATAAAATCCTTACTGATGGAGAGTTTTTAAACTTTGGAATGGAGTATCCTATGTTTAATACATGCCCCTTAAGAGAAAAGAGATTAGCTGCTGAAAGATGCCTCTCAAAGTTTTTCTTTTGTCTGATGCCAGTCAAGTCTTCCAGGTTCAAAAATAAATTTGGCTCCAGAAATTTCTTCTTGGAAAGGAAATACAGTCCATGATTTATTTCCAGGTCATTCTTCTAGCCCGCAGGACTGGGAATAAGTTTGGAAGAAATCCAAATCAAGTGTTGTCAGCATGTTAGCTATGACCACAGGCACCACTGAGATATGGGTACCTTTCTCCCACCTAAAGCCCTTTGATCACCTTGTATCCTCTTCCTTCACCTAGTTAGAGGAGAAATATGATTGATCTCACTTACCTGACCCTTTGCTTTCCCGGTCAATTCTTAATTCTGTTTGGAGCGTGACCACTGTGTTAGTTAAGATATGTTTGGTTGCAGCTAACAAAACCCTATTTAAATGAGATTTATTTGCTTGCATAACTGGAAGATCAAGGGGTGAGCTGCATGGGTTGGTTTGATCCTGATGCACAGTGGAGTCATTGGCCATCTGATTTTTCTATTTCTCTACTCTGTCTTCCTCAGTGTTAGTTTTATCTAAAGACTGGCTTCCTTTCATTACTAAAGTGGCTATAAATCTAAAAACTCCACCATCCAGAAGGACATAGAGAAGCCACTAGTAAACTTCTCCTCATGTCTTAATGGCCCAGAGTGGATCCTGTGGTTAATCCTGAATTCCCTTTTAGTCAATGGAATGCCAGGCCTGGGTTATCTGAACAGTCTCGAGGGCAATGGGGTTAGAATGATGGCCCAACTGGTGCAGAAGTCACACCCCTAGAGTTGCAGATAGGATCAGGTCCTATCTGAACTACATGGGTGCTGCAAAGTGGGGCAGAGGTAGAAAGGGGGTTGAGGAGAGTATCGGAAAACACCACTGAACAATGTGTTAGGTCAGTAGTGTCAAATTTAGTGTGCATCAGAATTACACGGAGGGCTTATTAAAACTCTGATTATAGGACTCGACTCTTAAGAGTTGGCACTTTAGTAGGTTTAGTGTTGGGGTCTCAAGAATTTGCGTTTCTAACAACTTAGGTGATGGTGATGCTCCTAGCCAGGGCCACACTTTGAGAAGCAGTAAATTTCATTGTGTAACATTGTTAGAAGAATGGGACAGATTAATAAAATTGTATCATGATTTTTTTGTTTTTTTTTTCTGGTGGTTTCCTTCTTATTGCTTCGTTTGATCTCCCTCCTAGTACTTTTTATGCGAATCTTAGGGTCTATAAATCATCTTTGTTTACAAAAGCTCTATAAAACTAAAACATCACCTTTTCCCCGAAGCAACAATAGAATGAATTACTCAGCTCTTATCTCTTGGTTTACTTCATAACCAGATGCTGATTGCTGAATTAAAATTTTGAATTGGAAACGATTAGAAATTTGCTAATTGGTAATGTGCTGCTAGATTTATTCATTCACTCAGAAACTATTTATTGTGTATGTACTATGTGCAGTATATTGCCGTTTACTGTACCTCCTAAATTTATTCTTCAAATTCACAACTAATTTCCAAGACATCACCAGGCTTGCCTTTCTGTAAATGCTACACACAGATACACGTGGACATGACATAGTGGACTGCAGAAACCT